CATGGTGCCAGACAAAATGCTGTTTCTTCATTTGCTAAGTCAGCCAACCCCAATTCAAACCCATCAGTGTCGTGGAGTGGGCCAGTGGTGGAGTTCTTGATTTCTAACTAAGGTCAGGCAACCATCATTAGGTTAAGTTAACATCTTTTCTTTTTTTGTATGTGTGGTACTGGGGTTTGAACTCATGGCCTATACCTCGAGCCACTCCATCAGCACTTTTTTTGTGATGGGTTTTTTTGAGATAGGGTCTCATGAACTATTTGTCTGGGATGGCTTCAAACCGTGATCTTCCTGATCTCTGCCTCCTGAGTAGCTAGGATTACAGGCGTGAGCCACCAGTCCTGGCAAGTTAATGTCTTTTAACATCAGCCATCAAAGTAGGACAAAATTAGTCTTTTTAGATTTTTTATGGAGTTTAGAGAAATTATCTGTGATGTTATAACCACAATTTTAAAAATTGTACATTTCTCTAATTGGATTTGACATTTTCAGGGTCAATTAAGGTCAACGGTTTTGAACATTCCCAGACTTGGAAGTTCATGAACATGGTATTCCGGAGATAGTATTTAAGGGATGATGGCGTATTGGATGAATCTAGAGACCACCTTGAGTGCTGCGTCCCCTCCTCTTGGATGTGGCTGGAACCCCACAACCTATCCAGCTGCAGTTTTCTGTGTGTGACATTCATTTTTTCTGTGTCCTTCCTTCACATACCACACATGTCCTTTTCGATTAGTGAATCTCAGAAAGTCCTCCAGCTTTACACAAATGGATTAAAAAATTGGGGAATAGGTTTTCCCTTATGCTACAAATAAGGAGTCAACTCCTTGTGAAAACATTAAGAAATGAGGATGCATAAAAGAATCAAGAAAGTTTGGCAATCTAAACAAGCAATTTGCCAACAAAATTGCATTTCATTCACTTTTACCTGCCCAATACTTTTAAGATGTTAGGAAGAAAATGTCTTGCCGGGCATGATGATACACATCTGTAATACCAACAGGAGAATCAAGAGTTCAAGGCCAGCGTGGGCTACATAGTGAGTCTGAGGCCAGGCTGGATATAGCCCAGACTCAGAAATGGGAAGGGAAGGGATGAGGAGGGGAGGGGAGGGAAGAAAAATGCTGGGGGCCAAGGGTGGGGAAGCATAGCATACTCCGGCCTCAGGTGTGTCTTTGTATGCAACCATCCCTCTATAATTAGCTCATTCCTTTGCTTCACATGCTAACTTTTTATTTATTCCCATAAAACCATTAGGAATCAAATCCAGGCTGATAGCCAAAGCCTGTTAACTTCCCCAAGCTCTCCATGAAGACAGCACTCACAGACTATCCAGGGGCTGCTCTGCGTGTGTTGGGTTCATCCCAGGGGGTCAATGTGAGGGACAGAAGTTGGTGAGCTGTTCTGAATTTTCAGGAAATGGAAAAATTCCCGTCTTCTAGGTCCCAGAGCTCCTTAGAAGAAATAATATATGTAGGATCTTTTTTTTTTGTATGTGTGTAGGGGACTGTGGTTTGAACTCAGGGCTTCACACTTGCAAAGCCACACCTCCAGTCCATTTTGCTCTGGTTATTTTGGAGATGGAAGTCTCTTGAACTATTCTCCCATGCTGTCCTTGAGCCTTGATCCTCCTGATTTCAGCCTCCCAATGGAGGAGAGATGTTCCCAACAACTGAGAGCATTCTGGAAATTAACAAACTGCTGTTTGTGAAAGATTCAGGGTACCTAAGTGTACAGGTCTTACAATAAATGTAGGTGATGTAAAAGGAATCTCATTTGTCACCCAGAGCTGACAGGCAGCTTTGGGTATTGCCCAGGATCTGGGCTTTAGTGAAATTAGGGGGAGTAGGGATGGGGAGAGATTGTTACACAGTTACATTAGACAGGAAGAACACGGTCCTGTGTTCTATTGCACATGGGTGACTACATAGTCAATAATAATGTATATTTCAAAAGAGCTAGGGAAGAAACAATAAATCCTCAAAGCAACAATAAAAGTTTGAGGTGAAAGACATGCTGCTTACCTGATTTGATCATTTCCCAACGTACACATGTATCAGAATATCACTATGTACCCCCATGAAACTCATGATCCCCCTACTTCAGACTCCCAAGTGCAGAAATTGCAGGCATGTGCAACCATGCCCAGCTATGCAGAATTATTACGTGTCAATTAAAAATAAAACAGAGCCAGGCACTGGTGCCTTACACCTATAATCCTAGCTAGTTGGGAGGCCAAGATCAGGAGGATCAGGGGAAAGCTGAGCGTGGTGGTGCATGCCTGTCATCCCAGATGTAATGGGAAGCATTAAATAGGAGGATCATGATACAGGTTGACCTGGGCAAAAAAAAAATAAGACACTATCTCCAAAACAACCAGAGCAAAAAGGACTAGTGGCATGGCTCAGGTTGTAGAGTGCCTGCCTAGCAAGTGTGAAGCCCTGAGTTCAAATGCCAGTACTGTCAAAAAAAAGATAATAAATAGATAAATAAGTAAAATAACAGATCAAGGAAACTAAGGTAGAAGCATCCTAATTTCTGGGCCAGCCTAGGCTCAGAGCAAGTTCAGATCTTGCTCAAAGAAACAAAAATAAAATAAAGGTCTGGGGACGTAGCTCAGTGGTGACTCACACGCTGAGCATACACCAGGCCCTGGTTCAATCCCCAGCACTGCCAAAAAAAGAATCAAAAATTAAAACAAAACAAAAAATGAAAAATGCAACTGAGTACGAATTTTGTGATCTAACCCTGTCATTACCTTTTTCCCACCTCTTAGTTTTTTCTGCCCTTAAGTTATTATATTATATTTTGTCATAAGTTGACAAATTATAATTGCATATTTTTCTGAGTTGCAAAGCAATGTTATGATACTCACACTGTGGAAGGATTACATCAAGCTTACTCCCATATCAATCAGCAAAAATAATTACCAATTTTCATTGTAAGAACACTTTAAATTTACTCTCAGTAATTTTGAAATGTACAGTATGTGATATCTCCAGCCACCATGATGTCCAACAGATCTCAAAAGACTTATTCTTCCTGTCTAGCTGAAGCTCTGAACCCCTTGATCAGCAGCTCCCCCTTCATCCCACTCCTCCAGCTTCTGATGGCCAACTCTCCACATTCTTCTTCTAAGAGTCCAATCATTTTAGTTTCTACATATAGGTGAGATGACCTGTCTACCCCATTGCCTCTTCATTGAGTGAGACATCTAAGTTTTATTTTAGAAAAATGTGGAATGAGAAAAGAAAGTAAGGGAGTTAAGAGAAGATTAAATTTTCCATCCAAGACCACAGTTATGTTCTAGAACATGCAGAGATTCTGTATAGCTACAGCTAAAATAAAAACAGAGTGGCTTTGGATTCATAGCACAGCATGTAGTTGCCAACATAGGAAGCATTTGAGACCTAAAAGTTTATTCTCTCAGTTGCTGTTCAGAGCTTAGAACTCATTCTTCCACAGAAACATTATAAATGATTGAGCTCATAGATCACACTTGAAAAGTCAACTTAATCCTTTGTGAGTGTGAAGGGCATACAGAAGTTCATCTAATCACCCTCCACAGCATGGTTCTGATGAGGAGACCTCCACCCAGCTCTAACTCACAATTCGAGGTACATTCTAGTCTCATTTCTCTCATTCTCTGCTTTGAAATTCTCAGCAGAAATGCCAGGGCCTTCCTCATAAAATGAACTACAATTCAAGTCTTCTGTCCCCAAACTCTTTCCAGAAATGATTCCTTGATACCTGCACGGAAGGAGATGTTTGGGTCAGTCATTCTTGGGAGGTGTAGGATAGGAGAGGTGTTGCCTCCACAGCAAACCATCTACAGATTCAGAACTCCCCTTGGTTCATGTGTTAAGACAGTTGACAGTGTGGCAAAAGGGCAGTGGACTGTGAGTTGACAAACCTGAATTTGAGCCTTGGTTAACTATTATCTGTGTAACTTTGGAAAGGTGACTTTGCACGTCTGGGCCTTAGCTTTCCTGTATTTAAAATAGGGCAGTATTATGAAAAACAGGTCACTAAGGGGAGAGGGAGGGTAAAAGATGGAAGTTAAGAACGTGAATATGGTTGGTGTACTTCCCAGGCAAGAATAAATATAGAATTTTTTTTGAATATAGAATTTTTAAGTCTGTTGAAATCACCGTAAGAAGGGGACTAAGGTAGAAAGGAGAAAAATAGTGGGGATGAACCAATTTGAGTTATAATACATATATACACAGAAATGTCACAGCAAAACTCCCTGTATAGCTGTCTTATACAAACAAAAATGTCTTTTTTCAAAAACAGAAGAGAAAGGTAAAACAAGTCCTGTCTGGGGGTTGTCACCAGTGGGGGCGGGGGAGGAGGGAGGTAGGGAAAAGGAGTTAGGAGGATGAATGTGGTAGAAATCATGCTTCCAAGCCAGCCCAGGCAAATAGTTCATAAGAACTCATTTTGCAAATACCCAACACAAAAAATGGGCTGGCTCAAGTGGTAGAATGCCTGCCTAGCAAGTGTGAGGCCCATTGCCACCAAGAAAAAGAAGAAGGAGGCGAAAGAACCACTGGACAAAATGAAATATGGAATTCAAATTCCGTATTTCGTGTGTGTCCATGAATGACTCACCACTGAGTGTTGGCACCCTCCAAATCGCATTTCAGCCTCCCCACTAGTTAAACAAAAAGCAGAAAGATGAAAAGAGGTTTCTAAACTTTCTACATGACTTCTCATTCTCTGAAAATCTCCTCCTGTAATGCAAAACCTATCTTCTCTGACTCCTCAATTTCCAGACTGAGCATCTGTACAGATTGAACTAATTGGATAATTTGTGGGTCTTCACTTTGTGTTGTAGACTTTTTTTTTTTTTTTCATATCCTCAATCAATCCATCTTTCTGCTTCAATTTACTTGACATCTTCCTTGCTCCTAAGAATTCTGGAACCAAGACAGAAGTTGAAATGTGAAGTATGTCTCATAAATTTGAATGCTTCCCCCCCACCCCTTTTCTTCCAGGAAAAGGAGCATTGGACTGCTTGTCCTGTGTGTGGAGTTACCACCTCATGGGAGGAATCTGCACGTCGGACTGTCTTGTGGGGAAATACAGAGTGGGAGAGGTAAGGGAAGCTGGGACGGGTGCCTTCTGCTCCTCTAGGGAGGAACATGAGCTCAGTTCCAAAGTTCTAAATTCCTGACATCCCTACAGCTTAGTTTTAACATTTTAAAATCTTCTTCCAATGTTTCATGAGATAATGGTGAGCTCACCTGTAGCCCTCACTAAAAGGACAGAACTGAGAAGATCTAAGACAAATAATGGGAAAGTTCAGTCGTGAGGGCCTCAGGATGAGCCCTGTGCCCTGTGATTGTTTACATGACCTCAGAAGTTTCAGTCTGTGCAAGACTAGATGTCAGAAATACAAACCACCTTCTCTCCTCCCCTGGGCTGTCTAATTGGAAACCTCTGAATAAAAAAAGAACCACAGTGATGATCTTTCATTTCCTCCACCTCTTTACAGTGTTTTAAGAAGGATTCATTTGCTTACATAGAAGCCATGGATTTTCTGAGTCCATACATGTCTTTTGTCTTGTCCTGTCTTGTCTCGTCTTCTTGAGACAAGGCCTCACTATGAAGTCCAGGCTGGTCTCAACTTCATTATCCTCCTGCCTGAGCCTCCCAAGTGCTGGGATTATGGATGTATCCAACCATGCCCAGCTTTCTCTCATTTCTTGATTGTGTTTCCAAACTTTAGAAAATAAAAAAATCTCTTCATAGTGAAATTAAAACGAATGAGTATATTCACATATAAGCTCTCTTTACATTCTCACACCAGCCCTCATTACAGTTTGGAGAAAGTGAGGCTCAAAGAGATCACATAAATTCCTAAAGATCACATGAGTAGTACGTGTAAGAAAGCTGGAACTGAACTCAGGGGATTTGATGAGATAATAACAGCTGAGAAAACATTGCAGCAGCATCTAAAATGTGCCAGGATCCTTGATGAAGTTAGTTTCCAGCCTTGTCTTTTCTTTTTCTTCTCTTCTCTTCTTCTCTTTTTCTCCCCCACCCCTCCCTTTCTCTCTCTCCCTCCTAATTTTGTTTCGGAGCTGGGGACTACACCCAGGCCCTCACACACTCTAGGCAAGCCTCTTCCCCGACCTACTCCCCTGGCCCCTCTCATTCTTTCTTCTTCTATTCTACCATGCTTACTGAGCTACAGAAGTAGTCTAAGAAAGCATCTTCCCTAACTCATGTTTCCAACACCTGGCAACTCACTGGGAGGCAAGGCATTTTTTTTTTCCCATCTCTGGATTCTTCCCATTGATTTGTGAAGTTTGTTTTTGGCAATACTGGGGTTTGAACTCAAGGTTTTGCACTTGATAGGCAGGCGCTCTACCACTTGAGCCATACCACCAGCCCTTGGATTCTTCCCATTGAGATTCAACTGCTTTAGCTATGGTCACTATTTATACCACTATTTATACCAGCTCACAAGAATCCAGGAACCACAGAGGCCAAACATGGAGCTAACATAAATGAGTGCAAGACACAGGGCCAAAGGAAACCACAGTGCAAGCTAGATGGAAAGTGAAAATTGATGTGTCACCTATGTGTTGGTGTTATTAAGAGCAAGTGTCAGAAATCGTGTCCAATAGGAGACCATAAAAAGGGGCCACTGTCACTCAGCTCTGAGGAGGACATTGCTGGGGAAAGAGATGAATCCAGTGTGGCAGGTTTTCTAGATTTTAAAGAGAAATTAGGAACTAATTTGCATATAAAATACACCACTTTTGAAATGTGGGAAATGAATGAAAAAATCTTAACCAGTGAAAGTCTATCTAGTGTGAGCCAGCCACAACTGGTTCTTGACCTGAGCTGGCCTTGAGCACAGGAGCTGTCAATTTATAACAAACTATTCTGGAAGTTCATTTTCCTACTGTTATTGCTAGCAGACCTCAAAGGTCAGGGCCCAGCAATGGTTTCATCCAGTTGCACACAGTTGGTTTTTGTCCTCTTGCTCAGCACAGTTAAAATGGACCCAGGACATCCCATCTTTCTGCTGGCCGCCACATACCTCTTTGTGAAGACAAGACAGAATCCCCATTTGGGAACTCCAGTGCCTTGTGAATCACTCTGCACTCACAAGGAATCTCCTGACTATTCCCCACAGGGAGAGGAATTTAACTGTGCCAAGTGCCACGAGAGCTGCATGGAATGCAAGGGACCCGGCACCAACAACTGCACGGTGTGCTCGGCCGGCCTGCTGCTGCACTTGGACGACAGCCGCTGCCTCCCCTGCTGCAACACCTCCCATGCCACCAGTCCTTCCACTGACAACCAGGAGGAGTGCTGTGACTGCCAGGACACCACAGGTGAGAGCAGAGTGAAGTGAAGCTCCCCTTGCTCTACCTCCTCCAATGAGACCCAGCTTCCTGCTTCCACCACCTCCCATTGTATCACCATATCATGATCTATTAATCCATTGCTTAGGTCAGAGCCCTCAGGATCCAATTGCTTCCCAAAAGCCTATCAGCTGGTCACCAAGCCCCCAACACATGAGTCTTTCTGGGGACATCACCTCAATTCAAACCACAACACAAGTAGATCTCATTTTACAGATGAGACTGAGGCTGTCAAGGCTGAATTAATACACATCAGTATTAAAAGTTTCACCTGGAATTAGAGTTATGGGTCTGTAACCCTGAAAAGCTCACGTTCTTTCCATTGCTATGCTCCCTCCCAGATAAAGCTCAAATAGGTTGAGAATTTGACCTTTTAAATTAGCGTTGTTCCTTCTTTATTCTTCCCTCCTGGGGTTGAAAAAAAAAAAAGTAAAGGAACTAGTCATGAAGGAAGCAGATGCTAATTTTTTATTTTCTCAGTGCTAGGGATTTGAACTCAGAGCCTTGTGCTTGCTAAGCAGTCTCTCTGTCACTTGAGCCACACCTTCCCTGCCCCCAATATTATCTTTATTCTGTTGAAGAATCATTCTATGAAATCCAGCCCAAATCTCAGCCTTTCATTACAGCATTGAAGAAATGAGCTTTCATTGAAGGATAAGAAAAAACTAAACTCCCTTCACCAATTACCAGTCCTCATCTGTCTTCCAACCTCCAACCTCATCTAGGCTGATATTTAGTTACAAAACTAGATCCTGAATGAAATAATGTCTTCTAAAAGGAAACCATATTCTTTCTCTTTTTTTGACAACTCTGGGGTTTGAACTCAGGGCCTCACGCTTGCTAGGCAGGCACCCTACCACTTGAGGAACTCCACCAGCCCTCTTTTATTATGGATTTTTTTTAAGATAGGGTCATCCGAACTATTTGCCCAGGCTGGCTTCGCACCATGATCCTCCTGATCTGTGCCTCCTGAGTAACTAGGATTACAAGCATGAGCACCAGCACCCGGGTGGGTAAACATACTCTTAAAATATATTCCTTAGTCTAGAAATAGATCCTTTTATGGGGACCTGTTGAATCATTGTCTGACAAAAATTATGTCATATTGTAGAAATCTGCTCATTTGTGAGTAACGAAAATCCTAGACCCATAGCTGCTACCAACCATTTATTTATTTTATATTTTATTTTTATTTTAGTTAGTTTGTTTTTGGCAATACCAGGGCTGAAGCTCTTGCTAGGCAGGCTCTCTACTGCTTGAGCCATGCCGCCAGCTCTTTTTGCTCTGGTTATTTTGGAGATACAATCTCACTGCAAGTCCAGGACCTCATGTCTTGCACCACAATCCTATTTCATGCTTTCTGCTGTCGCTGAGATGACAGAAGTATGAGACTACACCCAACTTTTTTCCAGTCGAGATGGGGTCTTGCAAACTTTTTTCCTGGGCTGACCTTGAACCACAGTCCTCCTGATCTCAGCTTCCCAAGTAGCTAGGATGAAAGACGTGAGCCACCAGTACCTGGCTTATTTTTTATTTTTTAATTAGCCTTTTCTATTAGGTTCCAAGTATCTTTCACAAAATTAATTCTTTCTTTCTTCAGCTTTCTCATCTGCTGAGCAACTGGTTTTCCCAGCTCCTCATCCACACCCACCTTCTGATTACTTAACATCCATGCTGTGTCAGCTAAGAATAAGGACCTTCATTACATCAGTGCCTTTAAATGAAACCAGAAGTGTGTACATGTTGGGTGCAAAGTGTTTGAAAGTCTGTTCCAACAAAGAATTGTTTAGTCAGCTTCCCTGGTTACTCCGTGGCTCTTATAAAGAGTCACCTGAGGCAACTTTGCAAAAAGCCAGATACTGTTGGACTGGACCTGGTAGAGCTCAGAGGTAGAACACTCACCTAGCATATGCAGAGCACACAAAAACAAAAACAAAAACAAAACTCAATAGTCTTGCTTACTTGCTCCTTTGTTACTGAGACAGTCTGCTCCTGCAAAGAAACCAGATGGCAGAGGTTGACCCTGACTCTGCAGCCTAACAGGAAGAACAGTAGGTGAGATGGGACTGCATATGGCTTCCTAGTAAGAGAAACAACCTCGAAAGGTCTTATGTTGATTCTCCTGCTTCAGGCAATATTTACATCAAAGCATGCCTATTGCTTATCTGTCCCACTGGTGCTTTCAGATTTCCTCCAGGGAAAAATTCTGTGCCGATATCAGTAATGACAAGGCAATAATGGTAGTACTGTTAGAGAAGGAAATTCTGCTTGATGGGCGTAATCCCATGAGACTGAAAGCCAGAAGAAAACACTAGCAAAAAAAGAGAGAATAACTAGGAATGGAGTTCAGTGATACAGTGCTTGTCTGGCATGCACAAGGCCCTGGGTTCAATTCCCAGCACAGCATTGAGAGAGAGAGACTATAGCAGTGATAAATTAGATCTAACCAGTCAATATTTAATAAGAGAAACTGTCATACCTGGCAGCAGTATTATATCCATTAAGCTAGTGTGAGAATGTGCCTAGAATCTCTCATCAAAGAATCCTGGGGGCAAATCCAAGTGACTCAACAAATATTTGTGAAGAGCCAGGCACCAGTGGCTCATTTCTGTAATCCTAGCTACTCAGGAGGCAGAGGTCTACAGGATCAAGTTTCAAAGTCAGTCCGGACAAATAGATCAAGAGACCCTATTGGGGGGGGGGGAAGCACTTCACAAAAAAAGGGCTGGCGGAGTGGCTCAAGGTTTAGGCCTTAAGTTCAAACCCGAGTACCACAAAAAAAAAAAAAAAAATTTCGAGGAACCTACCACACACTTAACTTGTACACCCAACCTAACCTGACAGTTTTTTTCTCTTATTGTTTCTTCTCTTTTTCACACTCCTGTGTGGTAGACAAAAGAAAAGGAAATAACATAGATTGGGTAAATTTGCCCAAATTGTACCACCTGAATGAATGAGTGTAAAGAAAAATGAGGTTACGGTTTCATCCTTCCTTAGGTGACACTGTCTTGGTTACTTCATGTTCTCAACCAAGCCTCTAACAGAGGCTGATGGATAGGAAGGGGCAGAATGTCAACTTCAGCGATCTTAATTAGGATCAAAGAAATTCCCTATCCCTCCAGTAGGTAATCAGGATTTAAACATGATACAGTAACTCCTCCTGCCAGGGCGAGCCACGTAACTCCAAGAAGTCAAATCACGGTTGTCAGAGCATTTTGCTTTCATTATCTCTAAACTACTACATGGACCTCAGGTTAATGAATTGGAATTCCAGTCGTTCCACAAACCAGGTCTTGTCTCTGACAATTCACTTCCTCTCCTGGCTTTAGTTGGCCTAAGTAATTTCCAAGGCCCCATATGGCTGGAAAAGCCAGTGGGGTTTATAAATTATCCTTTCCTGTCATTGAAAGGTGATATAATCATGCTGGACCAGGCTTAAGGATAGCTGGGGAGAGGACTTGGTCTTAGAAAAAAAATCAGAATTGTCCATTACTGCAAAAAAAAAAAAAAAAAATTAGAGTTGCACTTAGAACTAGTTAAAGCACAGCCCAAAATGAAGTATTTTCTCAGGAGGTGAACAGAAGAATCCGTTCATCAGGTTGGACACTTGGAGACTGATCCATGACATGTGAGGAAAAGGGAATTCTCTTTAGCTCTCAAACTGACCTTTCAAGAAAGATTTGTTGGCTTGATAAGACATAGACTGGGACTTTGTTGGGGTATATACTGTAGGGTTTTTTGGCAGTACTGCGGTTTGATCAGGGCCTCACGCTTGCTAGGCAGGCGCTCTACCACTTGAGGCACACTGCCAGCCCAATACTGCAGTTTTGCAAAGTGGTGTGCCTCCTAAGAAAACCAGACACAGTGATTCTACCATGTTAGATGTAAAAACAAGAAGTGAAGTCTTTACCCCAGGAATTAATTGCACTATTTCTTCTCTCCCACCTTTCCATTCTCCCCTCTGCCTTTGGGGTCATCTTCCAACAGAGGAGTGCATCCTTCGAACAAGGGAGACTGGGCCTGCAGCTGAGCGCCTCAAGACTCCTCTGCTAGTCACCTCCTCCATCGTGCTGGTGCTCCTGCTGGGGGCCTCTGTGGTCGTCTGGAGAAAGTCTTGGGGCCGAGTCCAGACAGTAAGGAAGCCTGGCTATGAAAAGCTGGCTGACCCTAGCAAGTCTCATTCCTCCTATAAGAGCAGCTATCACCAGAACATCAGCTTCGAAGAGGATCAGGTGATCGAGTACAGGGACCGGGACTATGATGAGGATGACGAGGATGACATCGTTTACATGGGCCAAGATGGCACCGTCTACCGGAAATTTAAATATGGGTTATTAGATGATGAAGATGACGATGAGCTGGAATACGATGATGAGAGTTACTCCTATCAGTAACCAGACCCCACCCCATCCCCATTCACCTCGCAGGCGAGCCTGTGAGCATTACTGATTTTGGTTTTACCCACACACCAGGCTGACGTGTGAATTTTTGTGTTTGCCTTCTTAACCATGAATCCAACCAGAATATTAAGATTGCTGAAATATTTTGTGTTTCTTTTGATTGATTAAACTCAATGATCATTTTCTGCCCCAGCATAATGGAGGAGCAAGCATAAAATTCAGTTATATTTTCCTCAAAATAATTCAGTAAGACACAAAATACAGGAAGTGAAAACAAGTGAGGTTTATAGGAACTCTTTCATGTGATTTCAAAGGTAATGGAGGCGAGCCTGTGCCACCTTCTGGAAGTCTGATATTTCTTTAATTTGGAGGGAGAGGATGGGGTATGAAAGAGTTGTTGGTTAAGGGAAAGGAGATTTTCTCTCCCTTTTGTTGTGTTTAGGAAGAGATTTGTAAGGATCAAGAACAGAGGCCCTTGTCAGTTGTTTCCAGAGCACCTCTGGTGAGCAGAAGGGACTGTGTCTGCTGAGGCTGCTCAGGACCCAGTTAGAAATGAGGAAAGAAGGGGTCCAGCCTCCTTCCACAGCAACCATAAGTTCACTGGTACCTGGCTCCTCTGCAGAAATCCAGAACTATAATAGTCCCCAAGGCAGAGCAAGCTCAGCAGGAGACAGGAGACAGGCAGCCACAAGCCCAGTGGTGAAGGATATCACGTGCCCAAGAATCACACCCTCATGATTTTCTAAGAGCTTTTCTGGTAGGAAATAAAAAAAGAAAAATGGCAATGTTAACCTAACATAAAATGACAAAAACTTCATCCACTCTTAAAAAGAGAAAAAAGAGAGACTTTAGTTGCTAAATCGCAGTAGCTTTCATCAACAACCCATCACAGAAGTGGGAATTCACCATAAAAAAAAGTGGGAAGAGTCTATCATTATAAAAAAAAAAAAAAATCCCAACGTGCTGCTCTCAAGCTGCAAACCAGCTTCGAACAGCTGTCCAACACTTGTAATTGCTGTGATTTTGTTTCTGGAATTCCTAAATGATTTTTCCATTCTCCCTTCAAGTGTGCTCTTAGGTTTATGCAGCTGGAGATCGCTTCTCTGCAGATAGTAAAACAGAGGGAAGGGTTACACAAAATTATGTAAGCAGAATCTTAGAGTGCCTTGTTAAAGCAGAAGCTATGGCAGAGCTAGGAGTGGAATAGCAAAAGAGAAAGGAATATTTTAGATGATGGTGATAATCATAATAAAATTTATTACACAACTACTTTGTACCAGGTACCAAGCTAAGAAATTCCTCTAAAAAACCCATCCCACCCACTACATATTTTACCACAACTCTGTCAAGTTGGTGTCATGATTCCCCTGTTTGTATAGGAAACAAAGGTTTACAAGAGCTAAGTCCATAGCTCAAGGTCACAGATGGCTAATCAAGATACAAGGATTAAGCATGACCCTAAGCACATGTTCCTAAGAGCTACATCCCACTGACATAGGGTGGGAAAATAAGCATCCTAAATATGGTAAGAGCATGTCCACTATTTTATTCTGTGATGTCAGTATCCTTCCTGGAACTGTACTATCTTCACTAAAGATAGAAGATAGCTAGGTAGGTAGATAGACAGACAGATAGATAGATAGATAGGTAATATGCACTGACACACGAAGCCTCCTTGCTGTATTTCTTTTGTTTTTTTCCTTTAGTATTCATATGTGCATACAAGGCTTGGTTCATTTCTCCCCCCTGCCCCCACCCCCTCCCTTACCACCCCCTCCACCCCCTCCCTTCCCCCCCCCAATACCCATCAGAAACTATTTTGCCCTTATTTCTAATTTTGTTGTAGAGAGAGTATAAGCAATAATAGGAAGGGACAAGGGTTTTTGCTGGTTGAGATAAGGATAGCTATACAGGGCATTGACTCACATTGATTTCCTGTGCGTGGGTGTTACCTTCTAGGTTAATTCTTTTTGATCTAACCTTTTCTCTAGTACCTGTTCCCCTTTTCCTATTGGCCTGAGTTGCTTTAAGGTATTGCTGTATTTCTTTAAAGAAAAGCTCTTAAAGCAAGGGCCAAAAGGGCCAAGAAATGTTCTCTGGAAAGAACCAGATTTTCCTAAATACCTAGCCTTTGTGGGCTGGAAGAGCTCTATTACAACTATTCAGCTCTGCCATGAGGTAACATGAATGCAGTCAGTACAGCATGAATGGGTAAGCTGTATTTCAGTAAAATTTTACTTATGGACACTGGGATTTGAATTTCAGATCATTGTCACATATCATGAAATGTTCTTCGTTTCACTTTTTTTTTAAGTCAAAAGGCAAAACTTATTCTTAGCTCACAGAAGCAGAACAGGTGGTGGGTCTACTGACCTTGTTTTTAAAAACGTCTTCAGAAGCTGGGCACCAGTGGCTCACACCTGTAATCCTAGCTACTTGAGGGGCACAGATCAGGAAGATCACAGCTCGAAGCCAGACCAGGGAAATAGTTTTGGAGACCCTATCTCAAAAATATCAGCACAAAAAAGCATGAGGCCTTGAGTCAAACCCCAATACCACAAAAAAAAAAATTCTTCAGAGATCATTTTGATCATTTAAATTATCTCTTCAAGGAGACAGAGCCGTTCAAAGCCAATCCAGGGAAATAGTTTATGAGACCCTATCTCAAAAAAACCCATTACAAACAAGGGCTGGCAGAGTAGTTCAAGGTGTAGGCCTTGAGGTCAAACCTCAGTACTACAAAAAAAAAAAAAAAAAGATTAGATCTTGAGACCAGGTAAAAATTATCTCTTCAAAATCCATTTGAAGCCCTGATAGTTCACTTTTCAGTTCTTAAAAATATGTGACACTACATGAAAGATAGCTATCATGTCACTGGAAGCATTTGTCATCTCTTGCTGCGTAGTTAGAGTTCACCCTACAGATAGAAGTCATTGTGCCTATACTGTGTCATTCTCCTCATTTACCTTCTTTGTTAATTTTTCAACTGGTAGACTGAGTTTGACATTTCTTTCTGTGCCCTGGAAAATGTTTTCCAAAAGTCTGTGTTTATGACACCCAGTTAAAGGTTGGCTGAGGACGAGATGACCTGAAACACTCCAAAAAGTTGTGTTCTTACTCCATGTGACTTGCAGTGAAAAGACGCCTCGTGCGTGTGTACTGGTGAGGAGTGACATCTTCCCTTCATTGTTCTTAGTCATGCCGCGTTTTTCTCACTCTTCTTTTGAATTCTATGCTAGCAACTGTCTTAAGAGATAAACATGTGGTTGGAAAACTAAGTCACTTTTTGGTTTTTTGTTTGTAAATAACTTGGAAATATTAAGAGCATCTTGTGGACTGAAAATATACCAAGAGGCTGGGTGCAAGCTTAGATAGAAAGTTCTGGTTCATAGAAAGTAATTTTAAGACTGGAAATAAAATTAAATCAAAATCAAAACCGGATCATGTGATGGAGACTTGATTTTTTTTTTGCAGTACCTGAGTTTGAACTCAGGGTCTACACCTTGAGCCGTTCCACTAGTCCTTTTTTTGTGTGAAGGGTTTTTCAAGATGGGGTCTCAAGAACTATTTGCCCGAGCTGGCTTCGATCTGTGGTCCTACTGATCTCTGCAGCCTGAGTAGCTGGGATTACAGGCATGAGCCACTGGCATCTGGCTAGACTTATTAAAGGACCATTTCTGAGCATTTTTAGGTGCTTAGCAAAATAACAAGAGTTCTGTTTTTTCTCCTTTTTATCTATCTGCATCCAATGACTGAGCAAGCTTTATCAATCATAAGTTTTCTTTCCAAAAATCAATCCAATCTGTCCTTCATTCCGTCACCACTGCCTCTGTCAGGGTCTCATCTCTCTCTCACTGGGTTATTTATGGTTCCTCCGGAATTACTGCTAAATGTCAGTCTCTTTTCTCTAATTTTTTCCCCTATGTTGTTATCAAAGGTCATTTGAAACGACCAGGGCACTTCTGAGGTCCACTGGATCACCCTATTCGGGCTCCCCATCACCACTTTGCAACACATCACCCTGCTTCTTTCTGCAGATTTATCACCCACAACTTCCTGCTCCCTCCTGCATCCCAGCTTCCTTGTTTATACTCCAGTAGAACCAAATTGCTTCCGGGTCCTTCTGAATACCATCCTGTTATCTCGAGTCCTTGAGGACATATGGTTCACTCTCCTCGGAAGCTCCTCCCCCACCACTCCCACCACCCCCACCTTGAACAGCTGGAAAATTCCTGACCATCCTTTAAAATCATGTTCCCTGTAACTCATCTTGGGAAGTCTTCCTTGACCTTCTTGGAGACTTTAATTGCTTTCTCACATCTCTGCTAGCTAGATACTCTGTGCATATATATTTTTTTCACCCCACCTTGTGATGTCATTGATTACATATCTATATGCACCAAAACATTGGGTACTCCTTAGACTGTCTCCTTCCCAGAAGCCAGCACTTGGTAAGCAATCAAGAGACACAATACAATAGAATTTTTTGTTTGCTCATTTGTTTTTGAGACAAGGTCTTGCTACACGGCAAGACTGGCCTGGAATTTTAGTCCTCCTGCTTCAGTCTGGTATACAGACTGCTGGCACACAGCTGTGTATCTTCAAGCCTAGTTTAGAACTGAATTTTTAAGAACACAAGATTCCCAGGGCTTTGTGGTTCACACTTGTAATCCCAGCATCGAGGAAACAAAGGCAGGAAGATGGGAATTCCAGGCCAGCCTGGGGTACATAGTGAGACTGTGTCTCAAAAAAAGAAAAAGACAAGGCTCACATAAATGAGCAATCAGGCAACGGCAGAGGCCATGTGCTATCTGTGCAGTGATCCCTACTTGTTCCCCGAGTGTGAGCGGTGAGGAGGGGAGGAAGCCGTACCAGCTGAGAAAGAGGCAATGCAGGTCAGAGCATGCTGGACGGTGTCATGGGAAGAGAACTGTGCTTGACCGAGTTTCAAACAGCAGAGAAATGAAGAGGGTCTTCTTCAGGAAGGCTGCTGT